ATCTGCTGTTTGTCTAAATCCTGTCAAAGCGGATACGTGTACTCGAGTTTCTGCTACGTGTACTCGGGATCAGTCCGTTTGCGACTGCGACGGTGAAGCTGGAGATGACGTTGACTATGACTACGAGTAGAAGTAGTTGAGTATCGAAGCTCGAAATTTGGGTTGCTTGATTGCGGGTCGTTAGCTTGTTGCAAAGAGCGAATATCTAATAATGAGGCGGAGTGAGGATTTCTTCTCTACGTTCGGCTCTCAAATATCAAAACGAAGGCAGTTGTTGGTCGAGGTGCAACCTGGCATGTGTTCAATTGTCAGTCAGTGAGATAGTGGTAATCGTTAATGCGATGCGGACAAATCCTGTCGTCGTTGCCGTGAGCGCCGCATCCTGGATGCCGGCTGCAGAGGTGATAACACCTGTAGAGAGCTCGCTGTGCCACTTGAATTAAGTCTTAATATCTAGTCTGGAGATGGACACGAAGATGACGACTGGGTAACGCAGTGTGTTTAACCGCCACATGCGACTAAATTTCCTGCCTCGTGTTCAGCTGTGTGACTCATCCATACGACGATGCGGCCCAAGCGCAAGACGTCATTTTGCTTGAGCATGGCTGCGGCTAACGAGAAACAGTGCCTCCCCCCCCCGAAAATCTTGACGATTTCTGAACAATACTTACGCTAATACTAAGAATAGAAGTTAGTTCCGTATTCCGTTTAGCTCTCGCAATCGAATATGTTGTATAAAAAGGAAGAGGTACTGTACCTTTTCAACACCAATTCCGTGCAAGAAAGTGCTTTTCATCCGGTCGGTCGGGAAATTTTGTATCTTTTTGAAACTACCTCCTGGATCGACCAATAAGACCCTATTATATCACAAGGTATTGCTGAAAAGCTAAGAAGTTGAAGTTTTCCTCCAATCATGGATCGCGGAGAATTATACATTTACAGCTGGGAAATTTCGTAATATCTAGGGGACTCTTGAATGGAATAAACGTCTTGACTTATCTAAAAAGAAAACCTCTAAGCCAGGAAGCTGTCCGAGCGTGTAGCGACCGAACTTTCTACACTATCACTGATATAATTGAATAATTTGAAGCGTCAGACGACTTTTGAGCCTACCTTCGGAATTTACACCGAGAAATCAATTTCATTGGGACAGGTAAGAACGATGACAGATGGCTACCCTTTTGCCTAGGTTTTGTAAGGGAGTTTCCTTCTTGCACGGAATTGGTCAATTAAAATTGACTAAGGTTAATCACGAAACAAATCGCAAATTTGTAAGGTCGGATGCCGTCTGATGGTCGCCCCAAGGATTAGCATCGGGTGGCGACTACAGCAAAACTGCTAAGAGAACGGACAGCGAAACCATCGCTTGATCGCTGCGGCATCGTCGGCCGAAATCAATCACCTCAGTGGGGTCCCCACGGTCTTGCCGTCAGCAAGGCCACCCTCTGCGTAGCGATGTGGTCTTCATGAAGCGTTGTAGAATGATTACGCGTTCATTTCTGAGAGGGGAGGTCTCTTCATATCTTCATTATCTATAGCAGAGGTAAAGGGTGTTTTCACCAAATACGTGTGTCGTAGTCCTGAATGCATACAATGATATCAAAACTCTACTACATTGAACGAGATCCCGTGACGGCTAACGAGGGGAGGGCACTGTACTGTTATCGGCTACTTGTAGCGTACAAGGCGACATTTACTGCAACGAGAGGGCTCTCCTCGTATGGACGAACGGCACAGCTGGACACGAGGCAGGCAAATTAGTCGCATGTGGCGGTCAAGCACACTCGTGTCCATCTGCAGCCGAATGTACTACAGTCTGTAGACGTCAACTGCATCTGGCGTCCAGGAGCCGGCGTTCAGGGCAACGGATCTCGACGACATGATTTGTCCCCATTGCATTAACGTTTACCACTTTCTTGGTGACTGACAGCCCAACCGACTCCTGGTTGCACCTCGACGACACCCTACTAACAGCTGCCGTCGTCGCGATATTTGAGAACAACCCCGAGAAGACATCCTCCCTCCACCTCATTATTCAATTTTCGCTCTTCGCTGCAAACTACCGACCAGCAACCAAGCATCCAACCGTCAAACTTCGATACTCAACTACTCCATCCTCAACATGGTCAACGTCATCTCCGTCTTCACCGTCGCAGTCGCCGCCGTGGTTTCCGTCGCCTCGGGCGCTTCCATGCGCTCCGAGGCCGCCCCCATGCCCACCGGGTCGTGGCCTGCCAGCAAGGGAACGGTCTACCTGAAGGAGCCGTACACGGTCAAGAAGGGCCAGACATTCGACGGTGGCATGAAGACGTACGCGCGCTCGAACGTCAAGTGCGGTGGCCAGAAGGAGAGCGGGTGGCAGACGGCCGTGTTCATGGTGGAGCCCGGTGCCACGCTCAAGAACGTGATCATCGGCAAGGACCAAATGGAGGGCGTGCACTGCGAGCAGAACGGCTGCACGATCCAGAACGTGTGGTGGGAGGACGTGTGCGAGGACGCGCTGAGCATCAAGGGCGGCTCGGCCAGCAGCGTGACCAAGGTGATCGGCGGTGGCGCGCGCTCGGCCGACGACAAGGTCATCCATCACAACGGCCTGGGCACGGTCTCCATCGAGGGCTTCTACGCGCAGGACTTCGGCAAGCTCTACCGCTCGTGCGGCACGTGCGGCGACAAGTCTCGCAAGGTGAGCCTCGTGACGGTGAACAAGAACTGGGGCGACCAGGCCACGCTCCAGAACATCAAGATCAAGGCAAGAAGGTGGACGTGTGCCAGTGGTCGCAGGGCTCCACTTCGGCCGAGCCCAAGAAGTTGGGCGCCGGTCCGTCGGGGTCGCTCTGCCAGTACTCCACCAGCACCATCTCCTACGCATAAGCTAGCAGGTCTGCAATACCCAATGCTCCAGGACTCGTGTTTGGATTGGTAGTCCGCCAGCATTGCTCGCCATTTGTATGTAGTGGAATCGGCGTTAATCGTTTTGTCCATGAGTAAATCAATAGAAATTTAGATGTGCTTCACTTTCTTTTTATTGTTTGTATTTTTATCTACTTCTACGATGCTGATGACTAATAGACAATACCGAGTTCTAATACTGTCATGTCTATTCATATTATGTCACCGCTCTCAGTGAGGGGGTCACGGGATGATCAATTTTCGATCAACGGTAAGACCGGTATCCGCGCAATGCTCCCTTGCTATTGCTTCAACTCACAACAACTAAGACGCTCAGTATTAATTTGAAGCCACGCTGTACGGTGTCAACTTTGCTTCACAAATATAGATGTTATGTAAATACATGCCGACCTCCGGTATAAACGAAGCGGATTGTATCATAACGCGGGAGAACGCGGTACTATTGTCTGGGCAGCTTCTGTCAGAAGGAAACCGAAAGCACGGAGCGGGTGTTTGCAAAATATCACTGACCACCCAACACGATGAATCTGCCTTAGAAGCGGTGCTTTTGCGGGTTGCCTACAGCGCCCAACAGTGATGTGCATATATATACGTACACTCTCGTTCAATTAATTGTGCAACCACACACTGTGCTGTCCTGTGCGCACTCTTTCGCGTCTTAATTGGTTGTTTTCGCTCGCGCTCACAAATCGACCAAGATTCACCGTGAACAATTCGTGAGACCCGATGCTGTTACTGTAGGGTCACGAAAGAGGCCTTCTCGGATCGAGCGTCGTCGGAGTTTTTGCCATCTTAAGTTGTTTTAATCACTCGATCACCAGCGAGTAATTAGTCTACGTTGGTCTTTTAGTCGACTGTGGGGTGCTAGAGCGTCGAAGTTTCGGCGCAACCGGCGGATATTAAGTCTCCGTTGTGGTCGGTACCGACAAGTTGACGGCGACAACGAGGTGAAAATTGGCCCCTCTCACGAGCCACGTTGTGACGCAGTCAGAGTCCGAGTGCGTAATCGACCTAAAATCGCCCTCCAAGGCTTCATCAGTCCACTTACTCCGTGCGTGGGGGCCGACGATGCCGCAGCGATCAAACGATGGTTTCGCTGTCCGTTCTCTTAGCAATTTTGCTGTAGTCGCCACCCGATGCTAATCCTTGACCGACCTTCCTTCAGACAGCATCCGATCTTGAAAGGTTTCTCAAAACCGTCGGCAAAAGGGTATGCACCAAGTAAATGTGTCTTAGTTCTGCATGCATACTTTGGTATTAAAAATCAACTACGGTTGTTGGCTACTTGTAGCGTACAAGGCGACATGTACTGCAACGGGAGGGTTTGGCTGCCACCTCGTATGGACGAACCGCATAAGCTGGACACAAGGCAGGCAATTTAGTCACATGTGGCGTTCGAACACACGGTGTTACACAGTGGTCATGTTCGTGTCCATCTGCAGCCGACTGTAGACGTCAAGTGATCCAACGAACTCTCTACTGCTGTTGTCACCTCTACATCTGGCGTCCAGGAGCCGGCGTTCACGGCAACGGATCTCGACGACATGATTTGTCCCCATTGCATTAACGTTTACCACTTTCTTGGTGACTGACAGCCCAACCGACTCCTGGTTGCACCTCGACGACACCCTACTAACAGCTGCCGTCGTCGCGATATTTGAGAACAACCCCGAGAAGACTTCCTCACCCCACCTCATTATTCAATTTTCGCTCTTCGCTACAAGCTACCGACCAGCAACCAAGTAACCAACCGTCAAACTTCGATACTCAACTACTCCATCCTCAACATGGTCAACGTCATCTCCGTCATCACCGTCGCAGTCGCCGCCGTGGTTTCCGTCGCCTCGGGCGCTTCCATGCGCTCCGAGGCCGCCCCCATGCCCACCGGGTCGTGGCCTGCCAGCAAGGGAACGGTCTACCGGAAGGAGCCGTACACGGTCAAGAAGGGCCAGACATTCGACGGTGGCATGAAGACGTACGCGCGCTCGAACGTCAAGTGCGGTGGCCAGAAGGAGAGCGGGTGGCAGACGGCCGTGTTCATGATGGAGCCCGGTGCCACGCTCAAGAACGTGATCATCGGCAAGGACCAAATGGAGGGCGTGCACTGCGAGCAGAACGGCTGCACGATCCAGAACGTGTGGTGGGAGGACGTGTGCGAGGACGCGCTGAGCATCAAGGGCGGCTCGGCCAGCAGCGTGACCAAGGTGATCGGCGGTGGCGCGCGCTCGGCCGACGACAAGGTCATCCAGCACAACGGCCTGGGCACGGTCTCCATCGAGGGCTTCTACGCGCAGGACTTCGGCAAGCTCTACCGCTCGTGCGGCACGTGCGGCGACAAGTCTCGCAAGGTGAGCCTCACGAACGTGCTGGCCGTGAACGGCAAGGTGAGCCTCGTGACGGTGAACAAGAACTGGGGCGACCAGGCCACGCTCCAGAACATCAAGATCAAGGCAAGAAGGTGGACGTGTGCCAGTGGTCGCAGGGCTCCACTTCGGCCGAGCCCAAGAAGTTGGGCGCCGGTCCGTCGGGGTCGCTCTGCCAGTACTCCACCAGCACCATCTCCTACGCATAAGCTAGCAGGTCTGCAATACCCAATGCTCCAGAACTCGCATCTGGATTGGTAGTCCGCCAGCATTGTAAGCCATTTGTGTGTAGTGGAATCGGAGTTAATCGTTTTGTCCATGAGTAAATCAATAGAAATTTAGATGTGCTTCACTTTCTTTTTAAAGTTTGTCTTTTAATCTACTTCTACGATGCTGATGACTAATAGACAATACCGAGTTCTAATACTGTCATGTCTATTCATATTACGTCACCGCTCTCAGTGAGGGGGTCACGGGATGATCAATTTTCGATCAACGGTAAGACCGGTATCCGCGCAATGCTCCCTTGCTATTGCTTCAGCTCACAACAACTAAGACGCTCAGTATTAATTTGAAGCCACGCTGTACGGTGTCAACTTTGCTTCACAAATATAGATGTTTATGTAAATACATGCCGACCTCCGGTATAAACGAAGCGGATTGTATCATAACGCGGGAGAACGCGGTACTAGTGTCTGGGCAGCTTCTGTCAGAAGGAGACCGAAAGCACGGAGCGGGTGTTTGCAAAATATCACTGACCACCCAACACGATGAATCTGCCTTAGAAGCGGTGCTTTTGCGGGTTGCCTACAGCGCCCAACAGTGATGTGCATATATATACGTACACTCTCGTTCAATTAATTGTGCAACCACACACTGTGCTGTCCTGTGCGCACTCTTTCGCGTCTTAATTGGTTGTTTTCGCTCACGCTCACAAATCGACCAAGATTCACCGTGAACAATTCGTGAGACCCGATGCTGTTACTGTAGGGTCACGAAAGAGGCCTTCTCGGATCGAGCGTCGTCGGAGTTTTTGCCATCTTAAGTTGTTTTAATCACTCGATCACCAGCGAGTAATTAGTCTACGCTGGTCTTTTAGTCGACTGTGGGGTGCTAGAGCGTCGAAGTTTCGGCGCAACCGGCGGATATCAAGTCTCCGTTGTGTTCGGTACCGACAAGTTGACGGCGACAACGAGGTGAAAATTGGCCCCTCTCACGAGCCACGTTGTGACGCAGTCAGAGTCCGAGTGCGTAATCGACCTAAAATCGCCCTCCAAGGCTTCATCCGTCCACACACTCCGTGCGTGGGGGCCGACGATGCCGCAGCGATCAAACGATGGTTTCGCTGTCCGTTCTCTTAGCAATTTTGCTGTAGTCGCCACCCGATGCTAATCCTTGACCGACCTTCCTTCAGACAGCATCCGATCTTGAAAGGTTTCTCAAAACCGTCGGCAAAAGGGTATGCACCAAGTAAATGTGTCTTAGTTCTGCATGCATACTTTGGTATTAAAAATCAACTACGGTTGTTGGCTACTTGTAGCGTACAAGGCGACATGTACTGCAACGGGAGGGTTTGGCTGCCACCTCGTATGGACGAACCGCATAAGCTTGACACGAGGCAGGCAATTTAGTCACATGTGGCGTTCGAACACACGGTGTTACACAGTGGTCATGTTCGTGTCCATCTGCAGCCGACTGTAGACGTCAAGTGATCCAACGAACTCTCTACTGCTGTTGTCACCTCTACATCTGGCGTCCAGGAGCCGGCGTTCACGGCAACGGATCTCGACGACATGATTTGTCCCCATTGCATTAACGTTTACCACTTTCTTGGTGACTGACAGCCCAACCGACTCCTGGTTGCACCTCGACGACACCCTACTAACAGCTGCCGTCGTCGCGATATTTGAGAACAACCCCGAGAAGACACTCTCACTTCACCTCATTATTCAATTTCTGCTCTTCGCTACAAGCTACCGACCAGCAACCAAGCAACCAGTCGTCAAACTTCGATACTTAAATACTCCATCCTCAACATGGTCAACGTCATCTCCGTCTTCACCGTCGCAGTCGCCGCCGTGGCTTCCGTCACCTCGGGCGCTTCCATGCGCTCCGAGGCTGCCCCCATGCCCACCGGGTCGTGGCCTGCCAGCAAGGGAACGGTCTACCTGAAGGAGCCGTACACAGTCAAGAAGGGCCAGACATTCGACGGTGGCATGAAGACGTACGCGCGCTCGAACGTCAAGTGCGGTGGCCAGAAGGAGAGCGGGTGGCAGACGGCCGTGTTCATGGTGGAGCCCGGTGCCACGCTCAAGAACGTGATCATCGGCAAGGACCAAATGGAGGGCGTGCACTGCGAGCAGAACGGCTGCACGATCCAGAACGTGTGGTGGGAGGACGTGTGCGAGGACGCGCTGAGCATCAAGGGCGGCTCGGCCAGCAGCGTGACCAAGGTGATCGGCGGTGGCGCGCGCTCGGCCGACGACAAGGTCATCCAGCACAACGGCCTGGGCACGGTCTCCATCGAGGGCTTCTACGCGCAGGACTTCGGCAAGCTCTACCGCTCGTGCGGCACGTGCGGCGACAAGTCTCGCAAGGTGAGCCTCACGAACGTGCTTGGCCGTGAACGGCAAGGTGAGCCTCGTGACGGTGAACAAGAACTGGGGCGACCAGGCCACGCTCCAGAACATCAAGATCAAGGGCAAGAAGGTGGACGTGTGCCTGTGGTCGCAGGGCTCCACTTCGAGCGAGCCCAAGAAGCTGGGCGCTGGTCCGTCGGGGTCGCTCTGCCAGTACTCCACCAGCACCATCTCCTACGCATAAGCTAGAAGGTTTGCAATACCCAATGCTCCAGGACTCGTGTTTGGATTGGTAGTCCGCGACCATTGTTAGCCATTTGTATGTAGTGGAATCGGCGTTAATCGTTTTGTCCATGAGTTAATCAATAGAAATTTAGATGTGCTTCACTTTCTTTTTATTGTTTGTATTTTTATCTACTTCTGCGATGCTGATGACTAATAGACGAGACAGAGTTCTATTACTGTCTTATCTATTCATATTATGTCACCGCTCTCAGTGAGGGGGTCACGGGATGATCATTTTTCGATCAGCGGTAAGACCGGTATCCGGGCAATGCTCCCTTGCTATTGCTTCAACTCACAACAACTAAGACGCTCAGTATTAATTTGAAGCCACGCTGTACGGTGTCAACTTTGTTTCACAAATAAAGATGTTTATGTAAATACATGCCGATCTCCGGTATAAACGAAGCGGATTGTATCATAACGCGGGAGAACGCGGTACTAGTGTCTGGGCAGCTTCTGTCAGAAGGAAACCGAAAGCACGGAGCGGGTGTTTGCAAAATATCACTGACCACCCAACACGATGAATCTGCCTTAGAAGCGGTGCTTTTGCGGGTTGCCTACAGCGCCCAACAGTGATGTGCATATATATACGTACACTCTCGTTCAATTAATTGTGCAACCACACACTGTGCTGTCCTGTGCGCACTCTTTCGCGTCTTAATTGGTTGTTTTCGCTCGCGCTCACAAATCGACCAAGCTTCACCGTGAACAATTCGTGAGACCCGATGCTGTTACTGTAGGGTCACGAAAGAGGCCTTCTCGGATCGAGCGTCGTCGGAGTTTTTGCCATCTTAAGTTGTTTTAATCACTCGATCACCAGCGAGTAATTAGTCTACGCTGGTCTTTTAGTCGACTGTGGGGTGCTAGAGCGTCGAAGTTTCGGCGCAACCGGCGGATATCAAGTCTCCGTTGTGTTCGGTACCGACAAGTTGACGGCGACAACGAGGTGAAAATTGGCCCCTCTCACGAGCCACGTTGTGACGCAGTCAGAGTCCGAGTGCGTAATCGACCTAAAATCGCCCTCCAAGGCTTCATCCGTCCACACACTCCGTGCGTGGGGGCCGACGATGCCGCAGCGATCAAACGATGGTTTCGCTGTCCGTTCTCTTAGCAATTTTGCTGTAGTCGCCACCCGATGCTAATCCTTGACCGACCTTCCTTCAGACAGCATCCGATCTTGAAAGGTTTCTCAAAACCGTCGGCAAAAGGGTATGCACCAAGTAAATGTGTCTTAGTTCTGCATGCATACTTTGGTATTAAAAATCAACTACGGTTGTTGGCTACTTGTAGCGTACAAGGCGACATGTACTGCAACGGGAGGGTTTGGCTGCCACCTCGTATGGACGAACCGCATAAGCTGGACACGAGGCAGGCAATTTAGTCACATGTGGCGTTCGAACACACTGTGGTACACAGTGGTCATCTTCGTGTCCATCTGCAGCCGACTGTAGACGTCAAGTGATCCAACGAACTCTCTACTGCTGTTGTCACCTCTACATCTGGCGTCCAGGAGCCGGCGTTCACGGCAACGGATCTCGACGACATGATTTGTCCCCATTGCATTAACGTTTACCACTTTCTTGGTGACTGACAGCCCAACCGACTCCTGGTTGCACCTTGACGACACTTTACCAACAACGGCTATCGTCGCGATATTTGAGAGCAACCCCGAGAAGACTTCCTCACCCCACCTCATTATTCAATTTTCGCTCTTCGCTACAAGCTACCGACCAGCAACCAAGTAACCAACCGTCAAACTTCGATACTCAACTACTCCATCCTCAACATGGTCAACGTCATCTCCGTCTTCACCGTCGCAGTCGCCGCCGTGGCTTCCGTCGCCTCGGGCGCTTCCATGCGCTCCGAGGCCGCCCCCCATGCCCACCGGGTCGTGGCCTGCCAGCAAGGGAACGGTCTACCTGAAGGAGCCGTACACGGTCAAGAAGGGCCAGACATTCGACGGTGGCATGAAGACGTACGCGCGCTCGAACGTCAAGTGCGGTGGCCAGAAGGAGAGCGGGTGGCAGACGGCCGTCTTCATGGTGGAGCCCGGTGCCACGCTCAAGAACGTGATCATCGGCAAGGACCAAATGGAGGGCGTGCACTGCGAGCAGAACGGCTGCACGACCCAGAACGTGTGGTGTGAGGGCGTGTGCGAGGACGCGCTGAGCATCAAGGGCGGCTCGGCCAGCAGCGTGACCAAGGTGATCGGCGGTGGCGCGCGCTCGGCCGACGACAAGGTCATCCAGCACAACGGCCTGGGCACGGTCTCCATCGAGGGCTTCTACGCGCAGGACTTCGGCAAGCTCTACCGCTCGTGCGGCACGTGCGGCGACAAGTCTCGC